TTAATGTTTTGTGAACTGATCTCAGTGCTGAGGTTCACCTGAACTGAACAGGCAAATATAATACACATCCTTGGGAGTGCCTGGTGGGAGGTGGAAACAGGCAGAGGCTGCTCCTCACTGCCCTGCCTGGCAGGACTGTTGAGCATTTCACAGCCATCCCTTTGCTAAGGCAGCTTCCCCTGAGAGCCCCTCTCTGGTTTTGCCTTTCAGACTGATCCCAGCAGTGACCACGATGCCAGCAGCCCAGGAGAGCCCAGAGGGGGGAGAGGAGGACACTTTGCACTATGAGGAAACAGAAGATGATGCTGTCAGGTGAGTTCTGTCCTACACAATGGCACAGCCTTGGGCAAGGCAAGGGATCTTCCAGGAGTGATCCTTCTCATCTGAAGAAGTGAGGGACCCCAGTAAGGGATCAATCAAATACATGTGCTGTGAAATCTGTGTGGTCAAACTGCACTGTAAGGGTGGAAGGGATGGGAAAGTGATCTGGCAGGGCTGACAACAAACACTTGACTATGAAAGTCACATTTCACAAACACTCCTGACTATTTGGCAGCTGTGTTTGTGTCTTCCTGGCCAAGGGGAGCCAGTTTTCCATGGCTTGCTGGGCAGGCTTGTTTTGAAAACTGACTCCAGAGGTGAACTCTGCTCTGGTGAGCCCTTGCCTTTGCAGAATGCCCAGGCCTAGGCAAGGACATTTTCTAGGAGGTTAATTTAAAAACCAAATTCCCACACATGTTCTAAAAGCCAAGGCTTTGGACTTGGAAAACAGGAGGGGTGACTAGGGTGCTTTCTAGAAGATCTAGACAGGCTGGGTGACTTCTTTGACTTGACAGGCTCAGCTTCATGAGAAGTTACTGTTTGCTGGCTCTGCTGGCACACTCAGTGGGTCTGGAGTGTTCAGAGCCTCTCTCAGAGCTAACACAAGTGTGCTAGCTCTAGCAAAGTAGTGATAAAACCTGTGAGGTGCACTTTGGCCTGATCTGAGTGAGTGTTGATACTGTACCAGTGTCCTGGTGCTGTGCATGGAGGGTGGCTGTAGCCAGAGGGATTGGGCTCTTCTCCAGGCAACCACTGACAGAATGAGAGGACACAGCTTAAAGCTGCACCAGGGCAAGTTTAGGGTGGACATCAGGAAAGAATTCCTCACTGAAAGAGTGATTGGACACTGGAATTGTCTGCTCAGGGAGGTGGTGGGGTCACTGTCCCTGGGTGTGTTTAAGAACAGCCTGGACGTGGCACTCAGTGCCAGGGTTTAGATGATGAGGAGGTGTCAGGTCATAGGTTGGACTTGATGATCTCAAAGGTCTTCTCCAACCCAGTTCATTTTGTGGTTCTATGTTCAGGTAGGTGCAGTGTCTGTAGCCTAAATAATAGATTTTAATGTTTTGGGTCTTCTTTAAAACAAGACACCTTGTGGAAACTTGAAAAAACAGTGTCATGCAGGAGAAAAACTTTTTAAGGGTGTTCTTGCCCTCTTTTGCCATTCAGCTCCCATCTCTTCACCAACAGTTGATATCCAAGTTGGGAAAGCTGGGGGACCTGCCTGAGCCTTTTCTCTTCTCCCAGAGAAGGCAACACCAAGGCCCCCATGCCCTTTAGCCTGCCATGATAGTTGCTCCCTATATGCTCAAGGCTTTCTTGTGCAGTGTTGGGCTCCCATGGATGAGAAGCAGAAGTCCTGGTGCAGGGATCAGCAGGTCCTGGGCCAGAGCTCTGCCCTGTAAGCCCAGCCCTGCTGGGGTGGCAGCTGTGGTTGGCACAGGGGCTGTGCCACCCTGCTGCTTCCTCCTGCGGGGTGGCCTGAGAGTCCCACCTTGTGCATTCTCCACACTGGGATGGTGGATGGTGGGGATCCCTCCAGACACAGCAGGGCCAAGCTCTGTGGGGCTGAGGGCTGAAAGGAGCCCTGTGTTTGCCTGCAGCCCCATGGACCTCTCGGAGCTGCTGAAGGAGGGCACGAAGGAGTCGCACGACCGCGCTGAGAACACCCAGTTTGTCAAGGACTTCCTCAAGGGCCGCATCAAGAAGGAGCTCTTCAAGGTGGGTGTTGCTCTGCTCCCCATCTCTGTGATGCACCCAGACTCTAAGGCAGAGCCCCACAGCCCTGGGGTGCTATGGTGGTGGGCAGAGCAGAGCCTTGGCTCTTTAAGCAGTGCCTGCCTGGTACTGGCCCTCCAGGCTGGTTCTGTGCCAGGCCTGAGGTTTGCTCTTGTTTGCCCCAATTCCATGCAGGCAGGAGTAGTCATGAGATGAGCTGTGCCCATCTAGTGAGCAGCTTCTCACATGAGCTGTGCTCTGTCCCTAGCTGGCCACCGTGGCCCTTTACTTCACCTACTCTGCTCTGGAGGAGGAGATGGATCACAACAAGGACAACCCCCTCTTTGCTCCTCTGTATTTCCCCGTGGAGCTCCACCGGAGAGAAGCTTTGGCCAAAGACCTCAAATATTTTTATGGGGAAGACTGGAAAGAAAAGATCCAGTGTTCAGAGGCAACTCAGCAATACGTGGACAGAATCCATCATGTGGGACAGCACGAGCCAGAGCTGCTGGTGGCTCACGCTTACACACGCTACATGGGGGACCTCTCAGGTGGCCAGGTGCTGAAGAAGGTCGCCCAGAGGGCCCTGAAGTTGCCCAGTACTGAGGAAGGGATCCAGTTCTACGTGTTTGACAACATTTCCAATGCACAGCAGTTCAAGCAGCTTTACAGAGCAAGAATGAATGCTCTGGACTTGGACAAGAACACCAAGGAAAGGATCGTGGAAGAGGCCAACAAAGCCTTCAGATTTAACATGCAGGTACTAAACAAATCCCTTGATCTGGATGTGTAGGTGCTGCAGCTTTTAGGTCTCGCCCAGGTTAATTCGGTCACACCACTCACCCAGTCAGTGGTCTGGGGCTGAGACCACCACAGCCCCTCCTTGAGGGGTTGGGACTCTAGTTGAACTCGTTTTCTCTAGCTTCAGGCAGGAATTCCTCCCATGCTCCAACACCACAGCCAAATGCTTTGATTAAGGCAAAATGAATAGGACTTGAAGATTCTCACAGGCTGTGAAGCAGTGAGGGGAGCAGAGCTCTTGTGCCAAGACAGCCTCAAACAGTTTGAGTGTGCTGCACCGCCCTGGTGACAATTCATCTCCTGTCTCAGGTCTGACTTGTTGCCCATGGTCAGAAATGTCTGGAGCTTCCTGTTCCTCCCATAGCATTTGCCTCTCATCAAACCTGACTGAGCTGCTGCTTGTCCCAGGGGATGAACACAGATTTAGCTACTGGATGGAAGTGTTAATCTTGTGCTTGTAGCAGGTCAGTGTGATTGAAACTGGCCAGAAACGTGGTGAGGTGTGGTTGGATCCTTATGGAATCCCGTGGCAGTGAGAGGGGCTGCCTGACCACTGCAGGAGCTGGGATCCTCCAGGGCTCTGCAGCAGGGAGGGCAGAGCCTGTTGGCCCATGCTCCCACCCACAGCAGGGTGGGGCTGCCTTGCTCCTGGCTCTGACTGAACGCTCTGGGGATGGGCTGTGCTTTCCTGGAGCTCAGTGTGTGCCAGGTGTCACCCAGAAAGGCAGCTGGGCACAGGGAGGCAGGAGCGGTGCTTGTCTGTTCCCCAGGTGATTGCAGGGGTCGGTTCTGCCTGGCTGTGCCTGCTCACGTGCTCACTGTGACCTTTGCAGGTGTTTGATGAGCTGGACAAGGTTGGCAGGTCGCTGGGAGAAGAAGCCCAGGATGGAGGCGTGCCGGTCCACGATGGCAAGGGAGACATCCGCAAGTGCCCGTACTACGCAGACAAACTGGGTAGGTGGTGCCAAGGGGGCTGCCACGGGTGTGTGGCACAGAGTGACAGTGCTAACGGTGCTTTCTGTGTCCTGCAGGCACAGCAGGCCCCAGCTGCCCCTTCCACGCTGCTGTGGGCCTGGCCAGGCAGCCCCTGGTGCAGCTGGTGCTGGCAGCCTGCATGGCCATGGCAGCGGGAGCTGCAGCCTGGTACATCCTGTGAGGGCACAGTCAGGTGTGGCTCTGCCTGGGGCAAGGGCAGAGATGTGCCCTGCCTGCTTTCCAACCCTTCCCTTGCTGCTGGTGAGTTGGCTGCAGAGTGGAGTAAGGAAATAAACAGGAATCCTGTGGGACTGTCCAACCTCCTCACACAGCCCTGTAACACCTCTTTAGCTGAATATTGCACAGGACTGGTCAGTGCCAGGGGCTGAGGGCTCCACTGCAGCACTGCCCTGCCCAGGCTGGGCTTTTTAAGGCTAGAGATGTCCTGTCCTTCACATGCTTGGCTTTTCATCTCCATTCCTGAAGCAGTGTCTGGAGGGGGTTTCCTGCCCTGGGTTGCATCTGCAGAATGTCATCAGCCTTTCAAACAAGGAGCACTTGCTTTCCTACCCTGAGGAGCTGAGGCTGTGCCAGGGGGCTGAGAGCAGTGTCCTGTTGGGTGCAATGTCTGAGGAACCAAGTCTGACTCCTGTTGGAAGGAGCTCCCTGGGGATGGGGGCAGGACCATGGTGGGCTATGGAGGTGACAGATCTGTATTGTGCAACTTTGGGGTTGAGGGTCAGTTGTTGGTTATTTCTCCTGAAGCCTTGACTGGAATAAAAAGTTGCAATGCTGTAGCTGGAGGAAGCTAAAAGCACATCATTGTGAGAATGGGGGGGCTGGGGAGGGGCTAAGGGGGAGAAAGGGAGTGCAGTCCCACAGTGTCTCACTTGTCTCTGACTGATGCAGTCCCTGAGAAACTCCTGCCCTGGCACCCCTGTCCCTGCTGTTTCCCCTGGGGTTTCCACGTGGGAGGCTCATTGCCCTGCTGAGGACACAGCCAGGTGCTGTCAGGGCTTGGGGCTCTCCTGTGCTGAGGGGTTCCTGGTAGGGTAGAGAAGCTGCTGCTCTTCCTCCTGTGCTTGGTACCCCTGTACCCCCACCCTGCCCTCACCCCCATCTCCCCTACAGGCAGATCTGCTGTAAATTTTGAGCAGGAGAGAAGAAAAGATTTTACACACGAGTTCAGGGTCTGTTATTTATTTACATAAAAACACTGACTAGTGCCACAGTTCCAGCCCTGAGCAAACAGCAGCTGCCTGTGCAGGCCAGGCTGTGTTTGCAGACCTGTGTACTGAGAGCCCTCCCCACTTTGCTCTGGGAGCTGCAGGGCCAGGGGCGGGAGGAGCAGCCCGAGAGGCTGAACTCGGCTCCCAGCCCCTCTCACCCTGCTGTGGGAGCGCTGCTGGCAGCTCCTGGCGCTGCCTGCTTGCCCCTTCCTTCTGCCTCAGGTGCGTGAGCTCAAACACCCCCTACACTGCATGCAAGGAGACCCTGCGGGGCCCAGGGCGGCCCTGGAGCTGCAGCCTGGTTACAAACTCCTCTACTCTACGTGCCGGGCAGCCGGGAC